TGTAGACCCAGTGTACTTCTGGACAAAAATAACAAAACATTTCAAATAAGAAGACAACTTACATTTTTTAATCCCTGGTTTTAACCGATATGCTCCGCAGTGGTCCAAACTGAAAAAGAAGCATAGATTCTTTAAATTTAGTACAACAGTTGACATTTTCCATGCAACTAAAGGTCTGTTTCATAATTTCTGATCAACTGCCATATGGTGGATTCCTTTTAAATGAAAGGTTGGAAAATTCACTGGCACAGCAGCAATTGTGCGTGTATGAAAAAAATACTTTCTGTACTTGTTTGATATACACAATTAATGGAGCTACTGATGACATAATATTTGGCAAAACCACACTGTTATAAATCAGAAAATTGATTTGTTATTTCAGCTTCTGTCACATTTTGCTCGTAAAACAAAAAAGAGAGAAAAAAAAAGCCTGTCATATTATTTCAAACAAATCAGTTTTCATTTTGTTGGCCAGTAATTTTTGTCAACATTTTTTTTGATGAAAACAAGACAATAACTAAACAAATACTAATGCATGAGAACAAAACACCATGAAAAGCTGCATTGACACTTTTGACACACAATCAGAACTAATGAAGTTAGACTATACTAAAACTATCTAAATATCATCTAAAATAATTTAAATAGCTAAAATATGGCAAAAACAAAATCAAAATTTGCTGTCAAAATTAACATTGAAATAAATGCCATATTATATATACACACTTACAGCACTGCCCTCAGCTTTATTTTTGGAGCTTCAACTATATCTGTTAGTCTTTTTGTCCCAATGTCTCCTGGATGATTGTAACTGAGATCCAGATGTTCCAGACGGGAGGCTGTGTTGGACAAAAGAGATGAGGCCAAGAAAGAGCAGCCTTTCTCTGTTACCTGACAACCAGACAACCTGCAGAACAAACAAATGCAGAGAAAAATTATTGTTTGTCATTTAGATTTTTGGTGGAAAAGTTTCCTTCTTAATTATTGAAACTGGATTCTTAACATTCTTAACTTGAGTCCGTTGTGGAACCAGACAACCCTAAACATTATAATGGACCAACTACGTGAAGTGAACTCGCCTACCATTGTTAATATTACACTCACACTAGGGAAAATAATTATTAGAGACCACAGCATGACCAAAATTATTGTGACCACGAAAAAGGAAGTTACAATCTCACTGCTTTTTAAAAAGTTGCTTCAAAGACCAGAAACAACTCAGCGACCACTTGCAGTGTTGCTGTCTTCAAAGTGCAAGTAAACATGGTAATAAGACTGATTCAGTCTGCTCAAGCAGGCAACTACATACAATCTGTTTGTGACAGAGTGATTAACTGTGATAATAATTGGAAACTTTGCCCTCTAAAAACACAGAAATTCGTATTAACTACTTATATTCAGTCCAGAGATAAACTTATACATTTGAAACAGAGATTCCTCGACAAACAACGTAGCTGCTGCAGGACAGCAATTTTAATACTAAATTGCACTGGCACTCAGAAAGCTTGCTTTTCTACAGGTAAATAGCAGAATACATCTGACTGGAATCCAGATGGTTTAAGTCGCCTACTGCAATGACATGTTCCAGATGGGTCGCAGTCACTGGCACAGACTAACTCAGATTGATTACAATCTGATGGCAAATCTTTTTCAATCTTTACAAATGCATCTGAGAGTGATTCCAGTCAGTTAGAGTCACATTATTCAGAGTCTTGTTGTCTTGAACCTGGTACCTATGTCTTTCAAATGAAAGTGGTGCAACCTTTGTGTGCACATCAGTTTCTGCACACTTTTTCACAAAAAGTAATGTATAGTTAGCACAGCAGGTTGTGATGTTTATGGTGAATGTTAAGTAACTACCCTTGATGGAACCTAACTTTCAAGGGTAGCAGACATCAATTTATATTTTAAGATGATGCTGAGATTCACTCACCAATTTCAACATTTTATACTAGCTGGGGTGCAGTAGCTACAACAGTCCACAAGGGGGAGGATGTGGGCTTGTTTAACCCAAGTTTCTATAAAAGTTACTGGTGTCTTATTAGACTGTAGCAGCACACAAATGCATAGTTCCAATGTTATTTCTCGTATAGCATGAGAAATGTATGCACCTTTTTACAGTGCCTTCATTAAAGAGACATTTAGCCATTTTCCACAAGCATCCTCTGATAGTCAAAATAATCATCAGAATTCCACCTTTAATGGTGGAAGTGTAGCAATGCAGCCTAAAGTCCTCTAAGATCATTTGTATGTGAAACAAACAAAACAAAACAATGGAAGACATCAAGGGGATGGTATACCTGTTGCTCAGGCTATGGCTTTTTCTCAGACTCTGAGCCCACTGTGTCATTTTCCCCTTGCTGGGTTTCAATAGGAAAGGGTGCAAACATTTTTTCACACTTTTCACACACACAAGCTTTGCACAGCCGTCTTGGCAACAGAGATGTAAGACTTCGACCAGAATTGGAATATTGAAACTGAAACTGACATTCATTCTGTGGCATACTATACAGACAGTAAAATAATAATAATAATAATAATAATAATGAGTTACATATTTAACACCTCACACAGATTTTGTCTATGTGTCAAACAGGATAACATGAATCAGGAAGTCTTCTCACCCACACCAGTGGCATTACATCAGCACTGAAGAAAATTCGGCAGACCCTGGAACTCGACCAACAACGGCCGCAACTTTCAAAAGCACCAACTGATTTACTGATCACTCATTTCTATCAAAACCTCAAAAAGGGCACCTCTCTCAGATTTATGTCTTTGAGCTGGTACATCCAGATATGGATCTAGCAACTATTAGCACAACAGTGAAAGAAAAATGGAGTTCAAAGAGTTCACAGATTTGATTCATGCAGTATCTACACTAATCAGGAGGGCGGAAAGTGTTGCAAAGATACATGGTGGAAACAAAGGGAATTAATTTGTAGAAGCTGTATGAGTAAACATTAAAACTGTAAAACAAGATGCTTTTACAAAGGACCTTCAGTGTCATGCCAAGAGAGACCAAATCCTAAAACAAAGCCCACTTCGAATGTTGACATCATTTTGAATAAAGATGGATTACTGAAGGTTAGTGGGCATATGGCACAACTGAATGTCCTTTGATGATTCATATCCTCTGATCATTCCCAAGACACGCATTGTAGCACACTGAACAAGACTCAAAGGTAACAGCCTTTGAATAAATAATAAGGGCAATTTGAGACTGGTCTCTGTTCATTTCTGATTTCTTCTTATGAACAGTTTGTCCTGAAAGCTTGTTGAAAGCAATTTTGTTTTTAGCAACCCTTCTAAAGAGACAAAAGAGACAGAACTTCCCAGCAGTGATCATTTTTGCATACTTACTTGAGAATCTTCAGTTTGCAGTGTGGACTCTCCAGGCCTACAGCAAGATGTTTCACACCTAAATCTAGCAGGTCATTATGGCTCATGTCCAACTCTGACAGGTTTGAGAATGCAGAGCTCAGGACTGATGATGTCAGAGCACTGCAAGATTGTTCGGTGAGCTCGCACCAACTCAACCTGTGAAAATAACAGCAGTCAGAAATCCTATTGGACATCCTGAGGCTGAAGCAATTGTTAAGGTAAATCCTCAGTGTTACTTGTGAAAAAACAAAACACACAAACAAAAAGAAAACTGTGGCTGTGGATTTGACATTGACAGTCAAGATGTGACTAAAGTGCAGATTGTTTTTCTCAATAATTTTATCGTCATGAACTTATATTGTTTTTGTGGTCTTTACATGTTTTGGTGCTGCAGAGCTGACAAGTGCATTCGTGCTTTGTCAGCTCTGCAGTGTACAGTCTAATATTGGCCTCCCTCACATGAACAAGCCTCATATTTAAAATGAAAGTAAAAAGCTATAAAATTAAAAAATTCAACACTTTGAATCAATCCCAGATATTATTTCTGCCTCATTTGAGTTAATAAGGGACAATGCCTCACCTGGCCATGAAGCTGCTTGTCAGTAAATTATCTAATTAATTGTGAGCCTCTAGGTTTAATTGCTGCACACTTAATGTAGTACTTTTATAAAAACCCTGAACTAAAGCTGAAAGTGTGCAGTTCAATCACACAGTGATTCTATGATTTATAGCCCACTCTGTCAGTGCGCCCCAGGGTGGCTGTGGCTACAATGTAGCTTGCCATCACCAGTGTGTGAATGTGTGTGTGAATGGGTGGATGACTGGATATGTAAAGCGCTTTGGGGTCCTTAGGGACTAGTAAAGCGCTATATAAATACAGGCCATTTACTTTGGCAGTTTGCAGAGGCAAAACTACAAAAATTGTTTCTTTGTCCCCTAAACTATGAAACGGTGTACTGTGTATAACTCAGAATTGGTAAAATAACCACAATATTGACTTGAACATCACCAAACTAACAAAATGCTGCATCGCCAACACTGCCCCATAAAGCTGCGTAATCCAACTCCATCTTGTTACAACTTTACATGATTAATTACCGCCGTAAATTAATTTGACATTATATGTGAGGTTGGATGCAAATTTAGACTGATGTCATGTCAAATGCATTGCTTAATAACAAAATCCTGTCTGTACTTACAAAGTAATTTCTGAGACTTTGACCACTGGCAACATTCCCAGAAGAACTTTCTCTGATTTCCGATACTTTTTCAGATCAAACACATCGAGTTCCTCGTCTGACGTCAACAGCACAAATGTCAGAGCAGACCACTGACCAGCAGAGCAATCTTCAAAATTCTGTTTTCCTGATCGCAGTTGCTCTTTGATGTCTTTAACAAGAGAGTGATCATTAAGCTCATTCAAACAGTAAAAAAGATTGAGGTTTTTATCTGCATCACTGATGTCTTCGTTGATCTTGTTTTTGATGTACTCAGCTGTCTCCTTTTTGGTCTCCTTGTTGGTCTTTTTGCTATTTTTTTTGTTGTCTATCAGCAGCTCTTTCAGATGTTTCTGACTGGTCTCCAGTGAGAGGCCGAGCAGGAAGCGGAGAAACAGATCCCAGTCTCCATGTTTACTATCTAAAGCTTTGTCCACTGCCTTCTTGTAGAAGTCAGATGCAGGCAAATCTGACATCAATGAAGGGGGTGTGGTAAGCAGATTTTCACTTTTGTTACTGAAGACGTAAAACACATAGAAAGCTGCCAGGAACTCCTGAATGCTCAAATGTACAAAGCAAAACAGTTTCTGTGGGTACAGTGAAGGACCTTCTCTCTCGATCTGAGTCAATATCCCAGAAAAAACAGCAGCTTTTGTGATGTCAGTACCACACTCTGTCAGCTTTTCTTCAGTGAAGAGAAAGTTTCCTTTCACAAGCTCTTCAAAAGCTAGTTTGCCTAAAGATATAATGGTTTCCTTGTTTCTTTCATTCCAGCATTTATCTATCTCACATCTTTCACTTGTCTTATCTTCATTATACTTTCTGTTAGCCTGTCTGCACTCAATCAAAAGAAAGTATGTGTACATGTCAGGCAGTGTCTTGGGCATTTCATCATCTTGGTTTGTGGTCACATATTCCTCCAGGACCTTTGCAGTGATCCAACAGAAAACTGGTATGTGACACATGATATAAAGGCTCCTTGATTTCTTCACATGGGTGAGGATTTTTTCAGCCAGATCCTTGTCCTTAAACCTCTTCCTGAAGTAGTCTTTCTTTTGATCCTCGTTGAATCCTCGCACCTCTGTGACCCGGTCAACTTTATCAACAGGAATACGGTTGGACGCTGCAGGACGGGAGGTGATCCAGATCTGAGCTTTAGGAAGCAGATTTCCTTGGATGAGGTTGGTCAGCAGAATATTGACTGATGTTTGCTCTCTCACATCGGTGCATTTATTACTTTCACTGAAGTCAAGATCAAGGCGGCATTCATCAAAGCCATCCAGAACAACCAGAATTTCGTACTTGTCATAGTCAGATATTTCTGAGGTCTTCATAGCTGGAAAGAACTGATGAATAAGATCCTCAAAACTGAGTTGTTCCTCTCTTCTCAAATTAAGCTCTCGGAAAGGAAATGGAAACATGAAATAAATGTTTTGAACTGCGTTACCCTCAGCCCAGTCCAGCATGTACTTCATTGATGCGATAGTTTTTCCTATGCCTGCCACTCCAATTGTCATCACAGTTTTAATATGTTTATTTCCTACAGAGGTGAAGATCTCATTATATTTAATTACTGTTTCTTGTTTAACTGGTTTGAACTTTGCATTTAGAACCTGTCTGGTCTCTTGCTGCTCATTGACTTCTCCACTCTGCCCCTCTATGATGTAGAGCTCTGTGTAGATCTCATTCAGGACAGCAGAGGATTTTTGCCTGTTGATGCCCTCACACGCACGAGTAAACTGCTCCTTCAGTTGAGACTTGAGTTTGCGTTGGCTTCTAATATCCGGCTTCTCTGTAAGAAAACATTAGAAACAGAAATTACACAAGTATACACTGTGCACATTTGTCTTTTCAGCAATAAACAATTATTTATTATATAAATATTTACTACATTTGTCTTTTCTGAAAGTTTTTTTTTTTAGTATTTTTATTCTTTTTTTGGTGTAGTATACTAGCATAAGTAATACAAAGATGCTCAATGATATCTAATGTTGAATGTTGAATTCTCTCGCAGCTGCTCCATTCCCGTGTTGTTGCAGTATATTAATGACTAACCTCGTATTGTGGATGGACTATCTCAGTTGTTCTCCTGACTGAAGTTTGGTCCGTTTACAGCATCGGGAACCCTCACGTTAACTTTTATCGAGTGGAAAAAAGTTAGCGTTCACCCTTCAGCTTCACTGCGTTTATGTTATGCTAACATGTAGCATATCATTATATACCAGCTAGCCAAACTTCAGTAACCCTACAAACGTCACTGCTGTTTAGTTTTCCGTCTTCATTTATGTTGGAAGTGACAGCAGAGCTGTACATTTTAATTTTTTCAGAAATCTCTCAGTCAGAACATGCTATATCATGTTTAGGTGGAAACTAGCGAGCCAACTTCCTGCTAACTTCTAACTCCATTAAATTTAATAAATTCTGTTTTCATGGATGCCTCAATGTTAATCTTAACTGTTATACCTGGTAAAACAGCAAAGCTGATCATTTTATTAAAGATGAGAGAATTTAGATGGCTTTTAACTCTCTGTGATGCCGCAGTGTTCATTTGACTTTGGGACCTGAAGCGGACGGAGTTTTGGACCCAGATTACTGGGTCCATGAGGCTCCTGACTAGTACTAGTGGTAGTAGCCGTAATGCACCGACAATCCATCAAGCAGTGCGGCTTCGCAGCTTACCAAAGTCATACTAAAACATTTTTTGACAGATTTTTGAGCGCCGTTTAGAGTGGAGAGATGAGCAGAAGGAAGCAAAGTCCATTTGCTTAGGTTTGTTAGCAGCTCGTCCACTGTGGCCTGTTTCTTCATGTCACTCCTTGTTGTTTTTGAAATCCAGAGGAAGTGGACATTCTTCCAGGCCATCAAGAATGAAAAATATTTTAATCTTGTCATAGGATGTCCTCGTTGTTTAATATTGCTGAAGTAATCGTTCAGCAGTTCTTCCATAATCTAAATATCTCTTCTGTCATTCAGCTCACTGAACTGGAATGAAACTATAAAGTCTATGTTTTTGTTGGTGTTCCCTTTTGCCCATTTAATCATGAACATCTTTGATTGAAATGTTTTACCAACACCAGCCATTCCTGTTGTTAGCACTGTTCGCACATTAAACATATCAGTGTAGTTGGTTTGTTCAAGTTCTTCTTTATGTTGCCCCTTTTTCACTATTCTAAGGAGTCTGTAGGCTACTCTGTTCTTCGAATGTTTTAGAAATTATTGTCTTCAGGTTGATTTTCAGTTCTTCTTTTGCATCTTTATAGTGAAAAATTACACTTATATCCATTAACAATGCAGTGCAGCAATTGCAGTGATTTAATTAACAATAATATTAATAATAATGTGACTATTGTGAATAAACACATTGACATGTAATTTTTTTTTAATTAGCAGTAGTATGTTGGATTAAGTAAAATATCCAAGTTCTAAAGTATGATTTTCGTAATAATGCTGACTTAAGAAGGATACCTGTTTTGATGATTTTGTGCGAATCAGCCTCACCATCCCTCCTCTTAGCAGTGCTGCTGTGGTCAGTTCAACACAGAGAAAACATTTATAACTATTACTATTATAACATTTCTAACTCATTATTTGAGCAAAGCAGGATAACACAATACATTTAACATAGGGAAACGGACACAGGAAACACTAAAACAAAATAACTCTTAATATAAACAAGGACTGAAGAAAGACTCAAAATATTAAAGAATATATATTAAGCTGAAAATGTAACTAATAAACAAAAAAAACAAAACAAAGAAAATTAAATAAACAGTAATTTAGAACTCTTCGCTTAACTAATATGTTTGCTTGACCAATCTTAGCTTAAAATCTTAACACCCTGAATCCTAGACGTATGAACATGACAGACGTACTGCTGACAAAAACTATTCGAAGGCTGTTTTATAGTTTGTTTGTTTTTTTCCCCATATTTAATAATAACAGTGATTTTAGGTTAAGGTTTTAGGAGTTGTAACTTTCTGGAGGATAAAATTAAAATTATTTTTAATATATTTAATATAATTTTCTGCTCGAGAGTCTGGTCTTCGGGGCTCAAGTGGACTTTCAAACAGATTAGAAAATGCTTTTATAAGACAAAGCTTGAATGTATTTACACTGTATGTATTTAAGCGAACCCAGACCTCAGACCTGGGCTAAAGTCTGGATTCTTGGCTAACTTTGCATTAAAATGCTGTCTGACAGACAGAAGGACAACCATACATGTAGGGGTGGGCTTAAAAAAATTATTCAAATCAGTTTTAGTTTGAATATTGCTATATTGTTAAATCCTGAATCAATGTGTAAATACAAATGTATTTTGCCAGAAACACTAGAATCTTTGCTTAGAGTTCACAAAACTATTTCAACACACACCAAACAGGTAATTCCAGAAAATGTTGTAAACAAAGCTTGGCTGATTCACCTGACAGTATCTACACAGACAAGCCATCAGGTGCTGAAAGCTGCAGGTTTCATCACTCCCCAACTAAAATTCACTGAATCGGCAGCAAAAGATGATTAAAACAACACTTCACATTTGAAAAACATTTCATGAATTCCCTCTACTTTTCCTGTTTTGCTTCCAAACCAGGACAGGAAAGTCTCCTTCATGTTTTTTTGTTGGTTTTTTTTGTAAGTTTTATCCTCAGTTACTTTGATAAAAGGCATCTGCACAAGTTTCAGCTTTGTTTTTATATAGAGATATAAAATGTGGATATGTACTGATAAATGATCACAATTATAATATTTCTGACTGTCTGAGCCAAGATTGAATTGAATCGGATTGGGGATCAAATCGTGTTGTACCTTAAAAATCAGAATTGATTTAGTTAGAGAAATCAGTGACAGTACCCTCCCCTACATACATTCACATCCACAGGCAATTCTGAGTCACAATCTAACCTAACAAGCTTGCCTTTGGACTAAAGGAAAAACCAGAGTACCTAAAGAAAACCCACAAAGCCACAAGAAAACATAGAAATTGCATCAACATTTGTACATTAGTCTTCACATTCAAGTTTAAAACATCAAGTACATTAATATTTAGCAAAATATTTAAAAGTTTAGTTTGCATAATAACACTGAGATCAAAAATTGTAACTCACTTGACAGTCGATGTGGACATATGTTGTTCCTCAGACATGTTTGTTTAAAACACAGTATTAGCAGTTTTTCTGCTAATATTTGTTTTTATCTAATTGTGGTGCTACTTTAAATTAAATTGTTTCCAAATCCAATGCACAAGTTTATATGAACACAAAAGCTGCCACTCTTTCAGTCACACTTGGCTTGAAAGCGGTTTTGATCCATAGTATCCATTTGGAACACCCTTAAACTCTGACTCACCCATCCCCACTGTTTTGTCTGTCTTCCCATCTCTGCACATTGTTCCCTAATTTGTGCCTGTCAGCCATAAAAAAAAAACTTTATTTTTTATGGAAGTGAAATACAAAGTGTTTAATGATAAAAAGTCAATGACTGCTTAAAACATTCTTATCATTTAAGCATATTGTGAGAAAAACTTAATGTGGCTGAGAAGTATTAATAAATTAAATGGTGGTTTCTATTTAAGTAATAATGTTACTTCTATTGTCCATACCCACTCCACCCATGTCTGCTTCTTTCCCATGTGACTCTCATTGGTGCCATGCATAACTGGAATGCAATATAGTTAATCAGAAACAAAAATCATAAAGTTTTACACTGGACAATAATGTAGTGTAATGACAGTTGCTTACACTGCAGAGCTTTCGTTGATGATTTACAGGAAGTAAGTGCCTCCATATTATAGTGTTTTAATTCTAAACCCCAGTCACCACTTGCAACACTCAGCGTGCTTCTGAAAAGCTTTTATTATCATTAACAGAGTTGAGTTTATACTCTGATGTCTCATCTTTTGACCAGACAGTTTTCCAGCTGTCACCACATCACCCTGCTTCCCCCTGGAACCGGCGGCACTGAAAAGGGAAAAGCGTGATTTCCCGATAGGCGAGTTCCTGCTTAGTGCCAGTGCTTCCTGGTTTTTGATTAATCTTAACACTGCTATTATTGTCACATTTAAATCTTATTCCACCACAGCAGCAGTCAAATTCTGTAATTTAGATATGTCTCATCAAAAAATGTGGTGTACCATACCAGATATTCATTTTATTGTGATCTTTATTGTCTTCTGTGTAGCTTGGACATTCTTCAGTGTTTTTCTACTCTAGTGAAGTTTATAATTATGTTCATTAGTTAAAAGGGTTCACATAAATGTCTGAGAAATTTCTTTGTGTAGGTAGGCCTCCAGGGTTTGGTTGGCTAGCTTTCAGAATGGCCTTCCCACATCCAAAGTTCAAAACTATTTAAAATTTGTGGACTACACTTTAAAGTCGTGTCTGTTACAGGGAAACAACCAATTTAAAAGAACTTTACCATTTCTCCCAAGAAGAGTGATCAGGTAAGAGTGACGGGTAAGGTAAGCGACCCATGTTGTAGGTGACATCAGATGCCGGAGATTTGGCGCGGGAAAAAAAAGCGAATGGTAGTGTAGAGTTTAACAAAGTTTCTTTAAGCTTCAGTATTACCAAATATACTAATCAATTGTCATATAACTAACAACATTTGTCCTATCATCTCTAACACCCTGGAGGACAACGGGGAGAGTTTAGACGGTCTCCAAGATTACATCGACCGCTGTTTCCAAGATTTAGTAATGAAGAAGGCCCAGAGTGCATCTTCCCCGGCCAAAATTGAGACGCCGTCATCGAAGAGATGTCGCCTGGCAGACTCCCCCGGCACAACATCGCCTGCCGGCAAAGACATCGTAGACATCCTGGAGTCAATCGACAAGCGATTGTCCAGTTTCGATGCGAGGCTGTCCCTGGTGGAGATTTTACACCAGGAATTTAAATCTCTGAGAGAATCCCTGGAATTCAGCCAGCAGCAGGTGGAAACGCTTGCCGCTGAAAATGCCACGCTACGGGAGTTGGTCAAATCTCTCACCGATAACGTGACCCAGCTAAACATTGAAAATAAAAAAATAAAAGAGTCCGTTATCGATCTACAAGCCCGTAGCATGAGAGAGAGATCTTGTGTTTTCTGGTATTCCAGAATCTGCTGGAGAGGACGCGGAGGCAACGGTGAAAAGAAATCAGAAATCAGAAATCAGAAAGGGTTTTATTGCCAAATGTTGAGCAGGTTTACAACATTAGGAAATTGCTGCGGTACTTAGTGCAAACATACTGTCATATAACGCTTATATAGACATAAA